TTAGCTTATTTTGATAACTTGAAATGTTGTGAAAATGCTAGGTGGTTACCACTTATCGGGGACTTGGACATGTGTGGTGCATTATCGTGGGGTAGTACGGTTTTGGCGTACCTATATAGAGAGATGTCTAAGGTTGCATTCATGAAAAATAGTGATCTCAAAGGGTGTCTCAGCTTACTGCAAGTATGGGCATGGGAGAGACTGCATTTGAAGCCGAGACTATGCGTGAACTTACAATTAGACGGACAAATTCCACTAGGATGCAGGTATTATATTTTTTAACGTAGTAAATATAATTGTAGTTATTATTTTGGTACTGAATTTTAAAACTAACACAGATGGAATGTCCAAAAATGTTTTGACGAGACCCCGGCTAGACAGTTAGATTTCTACCGAAATGAGCTTTCCGCATGAAGATTTTTCAGGTATCATTTCTATAAAAATGAGTTTTTTCTTCTATATATCAACTTTCGTTTTAATGATATGCAACAATTATATGTAATACTCTGTAGATGGAATGGGAGCCCTACACCCCCACCCCATTTCTCAATCATCTACCCCCGATATGCACAAAATACCCAGTTATATGGAGAGCCAGAGTTCCTCTAATATGTTTCGAAATAGTAGAAATGCATGTACCGGACCGCGTGCTTCGATAATTTGGTCTTGCACAACATGTTCCACAATTTGTTGAAAAAATAGAGAGGAAGGCGAAGAAAGGAGGCCAACAAAAGGACTGGGCAGCTGAGCATCAAAATTATATACACAGATGGAATAATAGACATTTTTGTATTGTTGAGCAAATTGAGCCAACTCTCCAGGAATCAGATTACTACACTTGGTATTGGAGGATAACTAGAAGATGGATACTCCATGCGACCACATCCCCGGTTGAGTTGCAAAGAGGATATGTGCATTGGGGTATAGATGAGAGAGAATTAGTAAGTATTTTCAAATTTATTTTAAGTTCATTTTTATTAGAATTTTTCAATATTGCTAAATTATGTTTTTTTAAAAATTTGCAGGTATCAGCAATAGTTGATGTTCAAACCATTGCAAATAGTGGCTTGGAATTGGCTCGAGCAGGTAATATAGAATTAAATATAAAATTTACATATTGTAATTTGAATTTTAAAGTAATTTTTGCATTTTGGATTTTTTTGAATTATCTCTCGCAGGTACATATCCCGAAGCATAGAAACATGCATCAATATATCAGTCGATAATGCAGAGGCTTCACCAAGCCTTACATCGAACTCATGAAGACCTCCATGATGGACGAGAGGTAGCGCAATTAGTATACACACGTCAACAATGACACAGACGAGGACGACGCAGAAACGACAATGAAGTTGGGCCTTCCCAACGTGTTGACGATGGAGCTGGACCGTCACAACCACAAACGCAACCGGATCATGAACTCATCGAAGGTCGGGATGGAGGAGGCCGAAGACAAAGGAGGAGGAGAAGAGTTCTTGGATGTATGTAAGCTAATCGGTATTGTTATATAAATTACAATCCTATTTTGATATGTACATTACAAACGTATTTCGGGACAATAGATGGTTTTTGGATTTGTAGCCGAGACTGTGGGGTGACTTATTAGATTTGTAAGTGGGTTTGTGGCGTGATTTGTTGGATTTGGACTCGTAAGTTTGTGGTGTATTTTATGATTTTTAGATTCGATATGTGTTTATACAGGGAATTGACATATGAGTTTGTACAGGGAATTGATATATGTGTTTATGCAATGGTGTAATTTATGATTGTTGCATTTGAAATATGAGTTTGGAAATATGAGTTTGTACAGGGAATTTTCCCGTAGCAGAAATACATGCACAGTTGTGAATGTGCAGGAAATGCACGGGACTACTAGTCCCGTGCATTTCATTGTGGCCACGAAGTGCACGGGACTAGCAGTCTCGTGCTCTTCTTTTTTGCAGAGATGTAACTCTCTGCAAAAAAACATGGGACTGCTAGTCCCGTGTTTTTCAAAGCTGCCTCGAAATACACGGGACTAGCAGTCCCGTGTATGTCGTAAAATTTGCTCCGCAGCAAAACCGACCCTTTTCAGAAGAAAATGGTCGGTTTTGCTGAATAATTTTCTAAGAGGTTGATTTTGCTATTTAAAATACAAAAAAGGTTGATTTTGAAAATTTGTCCTTATATTTATCATGAGCTGTCTTGCGTACATTCATTCAATTCAAATATGTAGATCATAACTCAGTAAGCATTATTCATTTTGCATCAATAGGGTACTTAAAGTTGGTTCTTAGCCTTTATTTAAAGCTCATTAACTCCCGATTTCTCTATGACATTGAACATTGTATTGCGCTGTCTTGTGCATACCTTAAAAAATGTAAATGCGTAGGAAGAGAAATTTGAGCTAATTCTTAAGGGCTTTCTCACATTATTACCCTAAATTCTATCACATATTTATATTAGCCCCCGCATGTTCATATTTGTAGGGGGGAAAGTACACCCTACTCTTCAAATTTGTTCAAAATGAGGTGGTTTTTTAAAAAAAAAAACTTAATTGATTTGAGGGTGTGAAAAATTGAGTGACAACATCTCGATCGACATACTTACTGTCCTTGGTTAGCCAAGAATTAAAGCCAGTGCCCATGCTGCCGGCAAATTAATTAGCTCTAAAAAATATATTTAGCAACACTCATTATTTATTTTCTATAACAAGAATCAAGATATTTCCTAAGCTTTTGACCTTATAGCTTAAATTAATTACAGCAAGTCTATTAATCGTTGGTCTTTGTCAAAAGACGTGGGTAGAAATATATCTTGGATTGGTGTTATAATCTGCTAGCAATTTGGCCGATGCGGATACCAACGATGGAGGAATTTATGAAGGTTGAGACTCCTCCACACTGATCACGATGCATCCAACAACCTCCGGTCAAGCTTACGAGTC